CATATGTGCAAAGCCCCCCCCAGATATGCAAAGCCACCCAGATGTGCAAAGCCACCCAGATGCAGCAACTCCCCCAAATGCACCAAGCCCCCCAGATGTGCAAAGCTACCCAGATGCACCAAGCCCCCCAGATGTGCAAAGCTACCCAGATGCACCAAGCCCCCCAGATGTGCAAAGCCCCCCAGATGTGCAAAGCCACTGAGATGCACGAAGCCACTGGGATGCTCAAAGCCACCAAGACATTGATGGCCACCAAAGCCCCCAGAGCCACCAACACGTGCAAAGCCACCAAGATGCACCAAATCACTGAGGTACCCAAAGCCACCTGGGTGTGCAAAGCCACTGAGATGCACGAAGCCACCGTGGTGCTCAGGGCCACTGAGATGAGCAAAGCCACTGAGATGCACAAAGACCAGCACGGGGCACAAGGCCACCAAGATGCACAAAGCCACTGGGATGCACAAAGCCACCAGGATGGGCAAAGCCTCTGAGATGCACCAGGTCACTGGAGTGCATGAAGCCACTGAGATGCCTAAGGCCACCAAGAAGCCCACCAAGATGCCCCAAACCACCAAAATCCTCAATACCACCCAGATGCACAGAGCCACCAAAGTGCACAAAGCCAGTGAGATGGGGACTGAGGCCTGGGAGGAGGTGGGAACAGGCTGGGGGACCTCAGGGTGTCCCCAGGCTGGGCTACCTGCACAGGGGCACCCATCTCTGGTGGCACCAGCACCCACCACCATGCTCAGCCATGTGTCAGATCCCTTGGCATCATCATTATTCCTCCCACCTCACCTTCACTGGGCTGTTCCTGAGGGATCTCTGGCTTGGAGAGGAATAATCCCGTTGGGATCTCTGGACCTCCTGCTCTGGCCAGGCTGGGATGTGTTTCCTCTGCAGCCACAAATGCTCCTGCAGCAGCAGGTCCCACTCCTCCAGGAACAGCAGCTTAGGGGACATGGGCACATGGTGGCACGTGGCCATCGCTGTCACCAGCCCCATCTCCCCAGCACCCTGAGGGTCTGTGGACATTGGTGAGTCCCGTGGGTGCAGGATTGGGGGGTGCCCTGCTTGGAGTCCTCTGTACCATGAGGGCCCTCTCCCTGTATGCAGGGACCTTCTTTGCATGGCACAGGGACCCTCTCTGGGCGCAGGGACCCTCCCCCAACATGGGGACCCTGTCCCTGCATGCAGAGACCCAGTGCCCTCAGCACGGGGACCCCACGCAGCATCTCAGGGCAGGGGGACAAGGCAGGAGCTCCACTCTGCTCAGCTTCTCTAATTAACCAGTGCTAATTGCCCAGAAAATGAGACATTGAAGTCATGCTGAGTGCCACAGCAGCCCAGGGGCTGGTATCTCTCCCCCAGCCTTGGGGACATGGTCAGCATGGGCTGAGGGACACGTGTCCCTTGCTGGGAAGAGCTGGCACAGGGACACGTGTGGCTGGAGGTGACCAGGGGATAGAAGCCACCCTTGGCAACGAGCCCCCAGCATCACAGTGTGGCCCCCTCTGAGTCAAGCAGCACCCTCCGGGTGATGCCAGGCTCTGGTGGCACTTGGCACAGGGACTTTGGCCAAGGGCAGAGTGACACAGGGACCACCACACACCAACATCCCTCTCCAACCCCTTGGAGGGCAGCGCCCAGACACAGCACTGGATTTCTCCTTCCTAACCAGATTAATCCCTCATTTGTGCCACATCTCTCCCCCTTCCCCTTTGATGTCCCTCTTGTTGGATGAACTTGACCCTGGGAGGATGAGCTTGACCCCACGAGGACTGAAGCATCTTTTGAAGCTCCAGCTAAGCCCACTGGGGTCGTGGTGGGGGTCACTGTCACCACAGCTGGGCAGGACATCTTGTCACCGTGTCCCCAAGCTGGCATCAGCAGGGAGCACTGGGGAGGGGGGCAGGAAACGGGTCAGCATTTGGGGTGGCATTTTGGGGGCCCCACCCCTGTTCTGAGCCACCCCAGCCTGTCCCATTAGCCCATGCGCCCGGTTTGAACTGGTCAGCATCCCACACCGACGGGGGGGGCTGACCCAGTTATCCCCCCCCAACCCGTCCACAGGCGTGGCTGCTTGACACCCCCCCTGGCAGCTGATGCAGCTGAGGTTTGGAAATGTTTGGAATGAAGGGCTGGTCCCAAATTCCCTCCTAGGCAACAGTTGCTAAGCTGAGGGAGTTTCATACACAGGCTCCTCGTGAGGCAGGAGCCACGGAGGGGCCCCCCATCCCTGCCTTTGGATGCAGGGAGCACGTGTGCCTCTGGTATGGCCCAGGACGTGAAATTCATTCATTTCACCCCCAAAATCCCCCTGAGGCAACTTCACCAGCCGGGGTGGGAGCTGGTGGCACTGGTGGCACCTGCTACATACTGGGGGGACGGTGGAGCCCCCAGTCCAGCTGCCTGGGCTGCTCTGACTCATCCAGCCTCGGAGCTGCTGGCAAATTTCATTACAATAACAAGGTCTGAGGGTAAATTAATTATTAATGCTTATTGTTTAATATTTATACTGCAGGATGGCTACGGGCAGGCTGCTCTGGCCTCGCCGCTTCCCAGCGCCTCCAGGGGTGGCCTGTTCCCATCCCTGGGGGCACAGCTGGATTGGGAACCCCAGAAATGGGGGTCCTGCCAGGGCACGGGGCTGAGCTGGGCTGGGGGTCCTGCTGGATCCCCCCCCCAAGCCACCTTGGGACCACGTTCATGATCCCAGGGTGGCAGGGTGGCAGTGCCAGGGCTGCTGGGATCACCCTGTGCTGGGGTGGGGGCCACAGGGGGAGGCAGGGCAGGTCCCTGAGGGGCTCACAAGGGGTTTTCCCACCTACTCGGGTGCCAGCAAGGTGAGCAGGGTGAGTGGGAGATGCCTGCCCAGCCCTGTACCCATCCCCAGTGCCTGTGGGGGCGATGCTGGGGCAGCAGAGGGGTCCACCCCCGATGTTGGGGTCCCCAAGGTTGTCCCCATGGCCAAGCTGGGGGGGGAGCAGGGGATCCTGCTGCCTGACCCCCCTCCCCACAGGCTTGGGGTGAATTGATGTGGGTTTGGCTGACCCAAAGAGGGAACCCCTGTGGTGGGGTGGCTACGGGGCACCCGTGGGAAGGGCACAGATCCAGGAAGGGAACAGGGGGATGGGTTGTCCAGAGGGGATGGGGAATGAGTAGAGGAAGAGGATGGAGAAGGTGAAAGGATGGGAATGGGGAATGGAAAGAGGAAAGGGGAAGGGGAAAGGATGGGGCTTAGGAAGGGGAAGGAAAAGGGGAAGAGGATGGAGAAAGTGAAAGGATGCAGGTGAGCTGAGCATTAGGAAGGGGAAGAAATGGGGAAGGGAAAGGGATAGGGATTAGGAAGGAGAAGGGGAAGAAGATGAAGGAGGTGAAAGGATGGGGATGGGGAAGGGATGGACATTAGGAAGGGAAAAGGAAAGAGGAAAGAGGAAGGGATGACCAAGAGAAAGGGATGGGGATTGGGAAGGAACAGAATTCCAGCTGCTGTGCCGGGAGGGCCGGGTGGGAGCCACGGGGGGGCGGGCAGTGATGCTGTGACCTTTGCCAGACACGCCGGCTCTCCCGGGGTGCCAGCAGAGATTAAAGCCTTCCCTCTGATCCTACCTGAGCTCCTGGGGACCAGGGCATCCCACCAGGAACCCGGAGCCCATGGACACCCCCAGGGTGGGACCTGACCCCTCTTCCTTGTCCCTCTGCTCCCCCAGGGTCTCCTTCCCGCGACGTCCTCCTCGTCTCAGCCATCATCACCGTCAGCCTTAGTGTCACCATCGTCCTCTGCGGGATCTGTCAGTGGTGCCAGCGCAAACTGGTGAGTGTCCCCGGGCTGGGGAGGACCCCTTCTCCCTGCCAGGCTCATCCCCTCATCCCCTGGGAGGGGTTTCTGGGGGGCACTGCCTGGCCGGGTGCCGGGTGCAGCTTTTTGGAGACGTGATGATGGAATGTTTGGGTGAAACCTCCTGCACCGGCGTGAAGGGAAAGTTCCAAGCCCATATATCTCCAGATTTACGACCAGTGGTAACGATCTGGCCCCTGTCCTGCTGGGCTGGCTCCTGCCTGCCTGGAAAAGCCCTGCTGGAAGGCAGCCAGCCTGTCCCGGGCAGCACTGGGAGCTGGGGGCTGGCCCTGCCACCCTCTTCTGCGGGATCTGTCAGTGGTGCCAGCGCAAACTGGTGAGTGTCCCCGGGCTGGGGAGGACCCCTTCTCCCTGCCAGGCTCATCCCCTCATCCCCTGGGAGGGGTTTCTGGGGGGCACTGCCTGGCCGGGTGCCGGGTGCAGCTTTTTGGAGACGTGATGATGGAATGTTTGGGTGAAACCTCCTGCACCGGCGTGAAGGGAAAGTTCCAAGCCCATATATCTCCAGATTTACGACCAGTGGTAACGATCTGGCCCCTGTCCTGCTGGGCTGGCTCCTGCCTGCCTGGAAAAGCCCTGCGGGAAGGCAGCCAGCCTGTCCCGGGCAGCACTGGGAGCTGGGGGCTGGCCCTGCCACCCTCTTTGTCCTCCCACCCTCTGTGTCCCCCCACCCTGGCACCCTGGGGGCACCCAGTGCCCCTCTCTCAGCTCCCCCATGGCAGGGTGGCCTTTGGCTGGGATCCTTTGCATCCTTCCTTTGAGCCTTGCATCCTTCCTCCTCTTCCCAGAGCAGCCCAGTTCCAGGATCCCCAGGAAAGGGAGAGGGGATCCAGCCAGGGATGTGACAATCCTGGGAGCCACCAGGAAGGGGTTTCCAAGCCCAGCTGGTGCCAAGCAGGGAAGGACAAGCTGGAGAGGGATGTGGTGGAAGGTGAAACTCTGGGGAAAGGCCGGTTGTGCTGAAGGATGAAACTGGCAGAGGAACAAACAAGTGGAAATTGGCAGGGAAGGAATTCAGGCTAGGAAGGAAAAAGGACATCCCGGCTGGTCCCCAAAGCACACAGAGCTGGAAAGGCTGTGTGGGAACCACGGCCAAACCGGCCCAGAGCCTGCAGGGCTGGCCCCAGGCTGGCTAGTGCCAGGGGAGCATGGGCCAGCAGCCACTGCTGCCGTGTCCCCACAAGCCCTGTGGCCAGCTGGGGACAGCACTGAGGGCTGAGTCCCTCCGGGCTGGTCCAGGGGTGGACAAGGAAGTCAGGCATCCCTGTGCTTCCTGGAAGGATTAGCCCATGGGTATCCAAGATCCAGCATCCCTGCAGATCCCAGTAGCACGAGCCCATGGGAGGAGGCTGGACCTGCCTGTGGTCATCCAAGGAGATCCAGCATCCCTGCAGGGTGAGCCCATGGGTGTCCAAGGACACCAGGGATCCCTTTGAGCCAGCTCTGCTGAAGGACCCAGCTCCACGCAGAGGTGATGGAGCTGGGAAGGAGAAGGGAGGATCGTTCCCTCACGCTGCTGCTCCCGGGGGGATGCCCGCAGCTCCGGGACCACCGTGCTGGGAGGGCTGGTTCCCAAGCCCACCCTGCCCCGGCAGCTGCTTCCATTCCACCCCACACCTGCAGGGAGCAGCCTCCGCTTCTAATTGTTCTGTAATTGGCGTTAATTGCTCTCCTGGCCGCCCTGGATCGGAGCAGCCGCTGAACCCGCCTCGGAAACCGCAGCCAAGTGCCCTGATTAGGAGCCCCAATTAGGAGCCAGCACCGGCGTCACCATCATAGCAGCTCTTCCCCTTCGGTGGGGAAGGTGAACTCAATTAATTCAGGTTCAATTAATCCTAAAATGACCCTCTTCTCCCCCGATGTGGCCATGGAGGGGCACGGAGGGGCTGCTGCTCTGCCCTTCAGGGGATGAACCACCCCCCTCTGTTCTCCTGCTCCCTGGGGACAGTGGCCAAGAGCCAGAGTGGCCAGCCCAGCATCTCCCTGGTGCCTTTGCTGGCTCCTGAGGGCCGAGGGATGAAGCTGTTGGGAATTCTGCTGCCTGGTCTGGTGGGATGGAGCCTGGTGAGCAGGAGGCTGTAAAGACAAAGGTCCAAATCCAGCTCAAACCCCTCGGTCCTGCTGTGATGCTCGGTGCTGGGGTGGGGGTCTGCCTGTCGCCCCCTGAGTCCCCTCTCCCCTCTGCAGGGGAAGCGTTACAAGACTTCCCTGGAGACTGTGGGAACTCCGGATTCCAGCAGAGGCCGCAGTGAAAAGAAAACCATCAAGTAGGTGCCAGGGGGAAGGGGAGAGGGGAAGGGGGCTGCGGTGCCCGTGGGAGCCCGTGGATCTGGCACAGCTGCAGCCCACTCGGCACCCTGATCCATCGTGGGTGCCCTGCCTGCCTGCCTGGGGACATGTGCTGGATTGGTGCTGGCAGCAGGGGTGTCCCTCCCTGGGGACAGAAGTGGATGTCCCTCTGCTCCCAGGGTGGTGGGTCTGGCAGAACCAGTTTGGCAGCATCTCTCTACTGGGGGGCTGCTGGGGAGACCGAGCCAGGGGTGGTCCCAGTGTCGTGCCACAGCATTGCCCCTTCCTGCTCCTCCTGCAGCTCCAAGCAGGGTGGGGTTTCCCCCCCCCCCCCCAGTGGGGGCAGAGATGTCCCCAAGTCACCCAGCCCAAATGGGACAAGGGCTTCAGGAACACCAGGAGAGCTGGCAGGTCTCTCCAGTCCCCTCGTGTGCCCCTCCTGGCTCTCCTGCAGAGCCGTGGCCACGATGGATGGGGCCATGGGGACCTCAGCATGGGTGTCCCCAGGGATGCCCAAGGTCTGGGCACACAGACCAGAGCCCTGACCATCCTGCCCAGCCCACGTGGCTGGACCACAGGCACCAGGGACGTGGTGGAAAGATGAGAGCAGAGCTGGGAGGGTATCATGGCTATTGAACCCCTCACCTTGGCTGGCCTGACCTCCTGCTTGGGGTGTTTATGGGGTGCAGGAGTCTGGGGCTACTTCAGGCACCCCTCTGGGCCCAGCCAGCTGCTCCTGGCCAAGGGTACCTCCCCTCCTGGTGGCCCAGTACGTTCCAGGCTCAACCTGGAGCCACTGGGCACCCCCAAGGTGCCTGAGGGCCACGCATTGGTGCCTTTCCAAGGCCTCCAGCACCAGCCAGGAACTGCTGGGCTCCCCAGCCATGGCAGCTGGGGCTGGGCAGCGTGTGCTGGAACCCCAGGACCAGGCCTTGTGCCATGGGGGTAGGGTTGGCATGGGGGGACCCGAGGGGGTCCCCAACAGGCAGCAAGTGGCACGGTTAAGCAAGGTGTGTGTGCTGCCAGGGGCTGAGGAGACGAGGATGCCCAGGTGTGTCTGGGATGTGCAGACACGTGCTGAGGATGCCCAGACGTGGGTGTTTGGGCTGCCCTGACACGCGTGTGCCAGGGACACACAGACACGTCTGCTCGGGACACACAGACACGTGCCGAGGACGCAGGGACACAAGCTCTGGGGACACCCCCC